TGACCCCGCCGTCCGCGGCCGGAGAGAGCTCGGGGCGGGGATGCGGACTGGAGGCGAAGGGCGGGGAAGCAGACGGGGCGCGGCGCTCACCTGCAGCTGTGCCTTTGTTGTTGCTGCGGTCCTGTTGGGAAGAATTCTTTGCTCCGGAGTTTATCACTTGCAAGATTGATGCAAAAGCGGTTTTTGCTTTTCTCCTGGTTTCATTTTCTTCTCAAGAATTCATCCATAACGGGGTGGGGGGCACAGAATACAGAGCAGGGCCTCGGCGAGTCCATCTGAGTCTCTCCCCTCCTCCTCCTCCCATGCCCGCCTCCAAAGCCTGATAGGTGCCACTACCAGAGCACGGCAATTATGGTTATTATTTTGGAGGGAAAGGAGAAATGAAAAGGTAAAAATGTTAATAGAGGAAGCCTTTGAGGGCCTGGGATTTAGTTCAGTGGTTCTGATGCCTGCTTTGCAAGCGCAGGGACCCGAGTTCGAGTTTGATCCCTGGTACCAAAAAAAGAAACAAAGTGTGTTTGAAAGATTTTACTAAATAAATAGTTTCGTTTTCTTAGAGAAACAGAATTGGCTTTCGGAAGTTTCCTTAGATTCGCCAAGTCCCACAACAGCGCCTTTCAGCACGCTGAGGGACGGAGCCCCTGAATTCACAGCACTTCGGCGCTGCGCTTCTCCTCGGCGCTGGGTCTGAAGCCGGGCCCTGCATCAGCAGCGCTGTCCCAGCCATACTTGCTGTAAAGCTTGAATCTTACACCCTTGAACTGACAGAATTTGCTGCTGTCCAGTCCTTTACATGCACATTCTTTCACAACTCTCAATAACTGTGAGGTTATTATCTTTCCTTCCCCAGAAATTTGAATAAAAATTTAGTTTTTTGATTCGCGTGTTTGCAGGGCTGGGGACCAAATCCCGGACCTCGCACATTCAGGGAAAGCCCTGAGTTCTTCCGAGGCAGTGCTTTAATTTTCTACTCCTGAGAAGGAAGCTGACAAGTTCTTTTAAAATATTGATAGGTACAACATTTGTGACCAACTTTGCAGTTTCCACAACTCAGTGACCCAGTTTTGGCTGAATACAGCAGTTACAGGAGCGAAGGGAGGTGTCCGGGCAGGCAGTGGAGTTAACCGCAAGCGCAGTCTCCCCATACTTAGTCCTGGTGCTGGCCTGGATGTGGCGGTCAGAAGCCACCGAAAAGGGGCACAGCCTGAGGCCCAGACCCCGGGCAGTCCTAACCCGGCCTTGCACTTACCGACTGCTCAGGCCGCTTGGCCTGTGCCCACCCCCAGTTTTTCTCTTTTTTGCTTTTCCTTCTTTACAGTAGCAGGGATCAAACCCAGGGCCCACACATGCCAGGCGAGCATCCCACCATCAAGCAACAGCTCCCACCGCAGCCTCTCTTGCTAAATCAGAAGATCCGTCTTCTTTCCCTGGACTAGTGGTTTCCTCAGTCTGATTTGACTTGGGTGTTTACTATGATTTTTATGTTACCAGGAAGCAAGTTATGACAGTCATTATATTTATCTTTTTATTACTATTTGGGGTTTTTTGGTTTGGGGTTTTTTGAGGTAGGTTCTTGCTTTGTAGTGCAGGCTGGCTTTGAACTCATGATGATCCTTGTGCCTCCACCTCCTGAGTTCTGGGTTCACAGGTATGCGCCATCATGCCCAGCTGGTTACAGATTTTCATGCCAATAAATATTGTAAAGAAGCTGGATGGGCCGGGGATTTAGCTCAGTGGTTCTGCTGACTGCCTCGCAAGCACAAGGTCCTGAGTTCAACCCCTGGTACAAAAAAAAAAAAAAAAAGTGCTGAACATAGCGGTGCACTCAGGAGGCTGAGGCAGGGGATCCCCACTACATTGCAAGACCATGCCTCAAAAAACCAGAATAAACCAGGAATGGTGGCGCATGTCTTTAATCCCAGCACTTGGGAGGCTGAGGCAGGAGGATCGCTGTGAGTTCGAGACCAGCCTAGGCCACATAGTGAGTTCCAGGTCAGTCTCAACTATATAGTGAGACCCTGTCTCAAAAAACAAAACTAAAACAGAATACACAAATAAATATTGTAAAGAGTAGAAATAAGGCTGCTACAAAAGCTTGCTTTGTTACTGGATACCTTACACGCGACGTGATTTTTGTGGCAGTTCTACCAGCAGGTAGCTGGGAAGCCTGGCTGAAGTCAGGGACAGACGTTTTCAGTCTATTGGGGCATCACTGAGACAGGGACAGTGATTTGAGAGGCAGCTGCATCGGGTCACACATATTAAAAGCAAAGAGTGCTGAAGGACTAAGGGCAATTTTTCATCAAGAAAATGTAACTCCAGAAAACTTGTCAAGTAACTAAAGATTTAAAAATAAAAACCTTTGAAGGAATCTTACATTCTGAGCAGAATGTTCTAGGACTTGCTCTCTCTTTACGTTTGGTTTAACTTTTCTTCCTCTTGCTTGGGCAGAGTGAGACGCCTCTCCCCGAGCCCTGCTCAGTTACTCCACAGTTCTGTGCCACTCGTACAAGTCTTTGCTGCCTCATGTTTAGGATTTGCTACATTTCATTGATCTAAATTAATAAAGTTAAAGTTGGAAACGCTTGCTTCCAGGTCATTCAGTTTGTCATTATGCAAGTCATTGAGTTTCTTGTGGGGGGAAATTATTTTTCAAGCTACTAATTATAGCTCTACCATGATCAAAAAAATAAGTTGTCTTTTTTGTTTTTTGACACAAGGCTGGCCTTGAACTCATGGTGATGTAACCCAGGCTAGCCTCAAGTTTGCAGTGACTCCCGTGCTGGGACATGGATATAATAGAAAAGAATGTCACACAATCAGGGCCGGGATGTCGCTCAGTGGTTCTGCGCCTGCCTGGCAAGCACAAGGTCCTGATTTCGATCCCTGGTACCAACAACAACAATAATAATAAGGTCACAATCAGCTACATATTTATCCATATGTATACTTACACTTAATAACGAAGCATTTAAAAGTTAAAGGGCCTCTGCTGGCAACTACTCATAAGCGAAGTTATGATTAAGTGTTTTATACTGCGCTACTTAATAGAGACCAAATCACCAATCAATCAATATTCAATTTGCTGCTAAACTAGAAATGCTACAACTATAGTTTAACAACCGTTTCCAAAACCAAAATATGTCATCAGACATGGTGATTTTCCTGCACTTTTCATGGCTGTGAGCACTCAGTCTTCCTCTCGGGAAGCGCCGAGGACCCCACGGAAGACTCGCTGACCGTTTCCAAGCTTAGGGTCCTGCTCCTTGCACTACCGTGTCTGAGCGTTACCTGTCTTCTTCCCGTCATATGGCACTGTGCGTCCCCTAAACAGCTTAGGTAGATTATCCCTGGTACGATACATATTTGGAGTACATACTGCAAACATGCCATTTCATCCTCAAAATGTGCCTGCTGGTGCAATCAAAAGCCAAGATTATTAAGTTAATTAATCCATATTGAGATGGATGTAGTGCCACGTGCCTTAGGAGGCTGAGGCAAGAGGATTGCAAATTCAAGCTGAGCCTTTGCAAGTTAGTGAGGCTTTATCTCCAAATTTTATTTTTTTTATTTATTTATTTATTTATTTATTTTTATTTTTTATTTATTTATTTTTTTGAGGGAGTGAGACAGGGTCGCACTATATAGCTGAGACTGACCTGGAACTCACTATGTAGCTCAGGCTGGTCTTGAACTCACAGCAATCCTCCTGCGTCATCCTCCTGAGACACAGCGATCCTCCTGCCTCAGCCTCCCGAGTGCTGGGATTACAGGCGTGCGCCACCATGCCCGGCCTTATGCCTCCAAATTTTAAACAATCTTTTTTTTTTCTTTTAATTCACAGATTGAACTTGGGTCCTTGTGCTTGTGAGGCAGGCAGCAGCACTGCTGAGCTAAATCCCCGGCCCCACTTTGTCTCCAAATTTAAAAAAATTTTTTAAATAAATAAAAAAGGGCTGCAGATGTAGCTTAATACAAAGGCCCTGGATTCAGTCCTCAGTACCATCCTCCCCCCAAAATGAAGGCCACATTGGAGAGAATAAGCAGAAAGGAAACTGTTAATAAACTATCAGGAATTTGTTCTCTGGGAATTCTGTTTTTGATGTTGTTTCCAAACACAATGAAACTTTCTGAGTTTGATTCCAGGTATCAAGAAAGAAAAAGACCAAACAATGCATCCTGAAATTGTAGAATTTCTTTTTGTTTATTTTTGTTTTTTGAGACAGGGTCTCTCTATGTAGTCCAGGCTGGCCTCAAACTCAAAGAGACCCAAGTGCTGGGATTACAGGTGAGCACCACCACCCTCACCTCTAGAATTTTTAAATTGGGAGAGATATTCAAAGCTCTCTAGCCTAACCCTTTTATGTAACAGAATAAACTAAAACCCTAAGCTTAAATGACATATTAAAGGTCACATTTATTTCCAAGACAACAGTATTTCTCCTCTCCAGAGTCATTTATTATTATTATTACTATTATTATTATTATTATTACCAGTAGTAGTAGTAGTATTTTATTGTTTTTAGAGAATCAAAGTCATGCTTTGCTACCCAAGAAGGCCCTGAACTCCTGGACTCACACGACCCTCCTGCCTCAGCTTTCTAAGCAGGCAAGAGAGACTACAGGCGTACACTACCACGGTCAGGGTTTAATATGCAAGGTTCCCATTCTAATTGTGACATATATTATACTGCTTCAATTTTATTTGTTTTAAAAAAGTAACAAAAAAGAATAAAAGCATAATTGAACACATTATTACTAAAAAAACTTAATCTTTCTCCTCGTCTGTATTTCAGCTAAAGAGAAAATCAAACGTAGAACAATTATGACAAATATTTATATATAGTTCCCCCAAATATATAGTTTCTTCAACTTTAATTGAAGGGGGAAACACGTTGGCAGGTTTTTTTCCAGAAAAAGAACATCTGATAACAAAACCGAAACAATCCCACTCCCGTTGGGGTGCGAGATTTTTCCTAAATAAGCATGCCATTGTTTCAATAATTAATCTTCGCTGTCCCGCCCTGACTCATGCACATTCAGGGACGGAGAGTGACACGACGGTGCCACTCAGATGGGATGAGGGGGCTGGGAGGGAGCGAGAGTCTCCGGCTGGAGAGCGAGGCGAGGAAGCCGCACCGCGCCACACCACGCCGTCGGACAGC